ACTTAAGAGCCATTTATTTTCTTTCCTTCTGAATATGTTGAACAAGAAATGGGAATTTTCCTTAAACTTTCAGATTCCATTTTTGTCATTTGATATCTCGACTTCTCCTTGTTTCCTTTGTTTTGGAAGTTCTGTATGCAGGATAGTTAGCTGAGTTTGGGAGTGAATGCTAATCTCGGTAGCGCAGGGGAGAAACTACTACTACTGCACTACTGTATTCTACCAATGATATCATTTTGTTATGATAAAAAAATTAAAAATGATTTCAAGATATAAAGTTTAAGAAAATAAAATTCTGTTATGCTTTTGGGGCTTTTGCGTCTTGCATGGCCTCCTCTACACCATTGGATAATCAGGTCCAGACTTTACTATAGAACTGTTAACATGTTCTCAGTTTAAGAGACATGACTTTGAGTGATATTTTTTGGTATTATTTGGATAGGAAAGTCTTTTAAGATCATAATTCATGCGGAGTATCTGTAAGCAGTAGGTAGAAGGCTACTGATGGAAAACCTAATGTGCTGTCGTGCAGACAAAGGTGCTTAGAAGTGCAAAAAGGTTAGTGATATAAATGCTAATAAGCAACTAGTTAATGACTGAAAATGTGTAGTTTACTATAAGGTGTCATTGTTCTGTGTTTTCAGGTCATACACTCAGATTTCCATACTTTAATTAAATCTTAAATATTTGTCTGCTCATTGCTGTTTCTGATGTATTACTATGAAGAACGGGGAGTTCGTCCATCAGTGTGAGGAGTCCCCGTGATATGATAAATTCATACATGTGCTGTTCATGGTTTACAGCATGCAGTGAAACTGCATTCAGTGTTTTCACTTTTATAAGAAAACTTCAGTTGTTTTCATGAAAAACAGGTTTCCTGACATTTAATTTATCGAAGTAAGATGCATTACACAGCCTCTTCCTCCACGTTATTTCCCAGCTGTTGCTGTATTTCATTTCAGTTTCCAGGTTCTTCAGCAGGAGCTCTTGTGCATTTCCATGCATATTATTCAGAGCATTCAGCATTCACAGTCATCTAT